ATAACTGGGATCAACTATGTGACCGAGTCGAAAATCTACTCAAAGCGTGTGATGAGATGGAACTTGTCGATCAGTGTGGTTAAGAGCTTTTGGGGAATGCCTAAGATGGAGTACCTTGGACATAAGGTCTCGTACAATGGAATTGAGGCGAATCCGAAAGATCTGTCTGCATTAACTGATCTAGCCTTTCCAGGATCACTCAGAGCTATGCAATCATTTTTGGGAAGCCTGAACTATTATAGCCGATTTATCAAAGACTACGCGATCTACGCGTCGGTTCTCTATGAATTACGAGAAATCGACTTTGTTGCGATGATGAGGGAAGCTACCCAAGCGCGAATCCAACAAGTACTGGAAGCAGAAGACGCAGATCAAGGATCGCAGGAAGATCAGGGCGTCGACCACCGAAGGACCTTGGATCCGGAGGCGCCCGATCCTATGGAGGTAGATTCACGTTGGATCCATGCTCATCGGCCCTTCAACGTGCTTAAAACCAGGGTTGCTACAACTCCGATCTTACGACACTTTGACCCAGATCGGAAGGCCACAGTGGTGGTGTACGCTAGCGATTGGGCCATTTCGGGATCATTGATGCATGAATACGACCAGATCTACTACCCCGTGACGTTTGCAAGCCGTACTCTAAAGTCGAATGAGCTAAACTACGGTATCGCGGAGAGGGAGGTATTAGCCCTTCTGAGGATCATGGATCTGAATTACAATGCGTTCGTTGGGCGTCGGATCCATGTGTTAACCCGACACTCAATATTGGCGTGACTTTTCAGATCCACTGCTTTACAAGGATGTCTGGGACAATGGGCCGCTCTGTTGTCACCTTGGACACTTGAGATTACTAAGTGTGTCAAAGGAGAGGACGAGACCTTGGGATCACTGGCAGCCAGTATCAACCCTAGATCAGAAGTGGATAAGGCGTTGGTCTCAATCGCCCCCAAAAAGGAGCCAAGGCGTACGATCCAAGGCCCGATCCCCACTATCGGACGAAATGAGGAGCTATATGTCGTCAGTTTTGATGGATCAGCCCGTGTCAAAAGAGGTGGAGGCGCCTACAGTGCGATCTTGTAGACGTTGCCGGAATGGAGAGTGCTGAAAGCTAGATCAGGGTATGCCGAAGGCTTGACGGTGAATGAGACGGAGTACCACTATGTCTGGATCTGTTGGAAGATCTGGATCCACAGCGTCTGGTGATCTGCGGAGACTCAAACCTAGTGGTCCGACAAGTACGAGGAGAGATCGATTGTAAGGCGCCAGGTCTGACACGGTTACGTCAGCGAGTCTTGGATCGACTACGTACATGGCCAGATCATGAACTATTGCACGTCAAACGGGACTGGAATGAGAGTGCTGACAGCCTAGCAAGTGCTGCTCTGCAACGGCAATGCGGGATCGAGATAGAGTCTGACGCGAGATCCAGGATCTCATCACGTTAAATCGGTTGGATGAGATCCTGATAGTGAAAGTCGAAGAAGGGATCGCACAGGTATCAGCTGTGACGACTCGATCTAAGGCTAGATCGGGAGTGCGTGTTGGATCTGATCCAAACTCTCTACGAGAAGAGGTCGTGAGAGAGCTGCTGATCGAGCAAATCCGACAAGCACAGGACGAGGAGTCGTGGATCATGGGCTTGAAGAAGTATATGATCGGGGAGATCCAGGATATGACCCAGGAGGAGGCTAAGATGTTTGGATCTATTGCTATGAATTATGAAGAGGATCAGTTGAATCTACTCTTCTATTGCCCGACAACTAAGGAAACCGCTGCAGATCGAGATAAGTTGATGCGACTGGTGATACCTGAAACGCTTCAACAGGACATTTTGCACCACTATCACACGAGTCTACAGGGTGGTCATCAAGGGGTGGGTCGCACCTATGATCGGATCCGTGATCACTTCCACTGGAGAGGTCTGTATAAGAGTGTACAGCGATATGTGGGGGAATGTGTCGATTGCGAAACAGGCAAGGGAAGGCCTCGGATCCAAGGCGAGTCACCTGGTAACATTCAGGCAACGTACCCATTTCAGATCATTGCCATAGATCACATACCTTCCTTGCCTAGATCCTTCAACGCCAACACTGAATTGCTGATCTTCGTGGATCTATTCTCGGGATATGTGATCGCCAAAGTCAGTGCCTCTAGATCTGCCCAAACAATCGCCGAGACTTATGAAGAATGTGTCTTCCGTCGATTTGGCGCGAGCGAGGTGATCCGACACGATCGGGAGCCTGGCTTTATGTCTGATTTCTTTAAGTTGTTCAACAAAATCCTGGAAAGGCGCCAACGGGCTACTATGGCATATAGACCCCAAGCTAATCGATCTGCAGCACGTACGGTTCAGACAACTATCAGGGCTCTTAAGATGTATGTGGAAGATCTAGATCAACGAGATTGGGACGAGTATGCTCAACGGCTCACCTTCGCGATCAATACTGCAAGAGATCGGATCCGAGGTGAAACGCCTTTCTACATGATACATGGCTGGGATCCTAGATCTACCCTGGAAGCTGTGATCCCGGGTGGGGAGCACTCGCAAGCACAATCGAGATACGAGAAGATGGCGATATCGAATGCAAAAGTATTATCAGCAAGCCAGGGAACAGGTGAACCAACGCCTTCGAGAAGCGATCGCGGATCGGGCCGATACGCATAATGATCTAGCACGACCTCATCCTGTAGAGTCTGGATCAAGGGTCTGGCTATACCTAGATCGAGTACGGGAAGGTTATGCGAAAAAGCTGGGGCACTTATGACATGGTCCATTCCGCGTTGCCGAGAAGATCGGGGAATACGCCGTGAAGTTGGAGGTAGCAGGATCCACATACAGCATTTTCCCGGTGGTGCATGTGTCGAAAATCAAACTGGTTAAGGTATTCCCAGATCGACCAGTAGCTCGTCTCAACGGGTCAGAAGGGGATCGGGTGGATTTTGATGAGGCCCTCCTGCTTGAAGACAGCTGGATCCAAGAGCGGGATCCAGACGAATACAAAGTGGAGCGAATTTCGGATGACGGGTAAGAGAACGAGGTATGACCGAATCTATCGAGAATTTCTGGTACATTGGTGTGGATATGAAGATCCGACCTGGGTAGA